AACACGACGAGGGCAAACGTTTACGCGGCTGCCGTGCGGCTGTTCATATATTATTTCCCCGTTTTGAGTGCTGTCCGACGAGCAATTAACCACCGTTCAAGTGCAGCGGCTCACCTTGGGAAGCGCAGAACAGAAAATGGTAAGTCGAACGCATTGATACGTACAGCGCTACGGCACGGGCGCGGTATCCCCCAGCCGCGGGAATTATTATTAAATTACACCGCGCCTGTTACTCAGGAGTTTAGTTGAACACAGTTCGAGCATGCTGTACGGAGAAAAACTAAAAACTAAACTGGTTTTCCGTACTTCAATTGCACGTAACTGTTCGAATAAAAGTTCACGAATCCGGCTAATTCGCTGTGTAAACACGAAATTCCAATTTCGCGTCGACCGTTTCAGGTCGTGAACGCCGCCGGTAGAAAGCGAGCCAAGAGTTTGAGGGGAAAAAATAAAACAACATAAAAACCCGGTTTTCACGACTGCACCGGAGTAGCGGCGTACAACATATAAATATATTTCTATACACGTATGTATATTATATTGTATTACGTTTCATTTTGTTGTATTTTATTAAACCTAGATGTTGTACGTGGGGAAAAAACGCAGATCGTACGAGCGAAGAGACAAACGGTTCATTAACAAAAGTCATAAATTAACTCGATTCTTGTTCGCCCTGATGAAATTCCAGCAGGTAGGTACAAATTAGAGCGGGACCAAATTATTAGGTTGGTCGGTTTACGACTGAATGTTATAGGCACACGATCTATATAACCCACTCGATTCCCCGGGTATTTTGTACGTAGTTGTACGTGAAATGCACGTAAAGCGCATTTATAATGAATTCCAGTGAAATTAATTACACGTGCGATTTGTCAAAACACCGTATACGCGCGCGTGCAGAGTTATAAGGATTTTTTCGATTAACTTCGTAAGACCATATCCTGAGCAGTATTTATAATAACATACGAACACTGTAGATATATGAACGCAGTGCGTTGTTCATCGTTCGATTTTGATTACGTGGAACCATGAAGTTTTATATATAGTCGCTTGTAGAACGAATTTAAACACATACGCGTTTCTCGAATTACAAGCCGAATTGGATTGAAAAAAAATATTCCAAGATTAATAGCTATAAGATTTTCGAGTTTTTGCGGCGAGTGCAGGATGATAAACGATCATCTATAAGCTTTTACACGAAAACTTCTAGGGTATTTAACGCATTTATCGCTTATGTGAATTGCATATTCGGTGCATGTTGGCCGAGATTTGTTTTAAATAATATTCTCTTTTTGACGTATCATTTTAAGCACACATAAAGAGAAATAACGACTTCAAAGGAATCGTAACATCCGTCGAATATTAAAACACAATGGTCTGCAAACCGTACGGCTAAAAGCTATGCGCATTGCGTATCTCGGGGTCCATACGGGATTTTCGATCGAAGTACAAAACTTTCTCGACAGAGCACGTAGACGCGGCATTACGCGTGCATAGCTGTTTTTTTATCTTGCAAATGAGTTCTGAAAAGTCTTTAATTACTGTGTACGCACGTGTACCTGTGGATTTCTACGTCGTACATCAACAGATGTATAATATAAGTGAGTGTTCGCGAGCACCGTAGCGTCGGTCACAAAATCTGACAGTTTTGCGATCCTCCGCGTTCCAATTGTAGAAACAAAAACACAAAAACACGCGTAAACCGTGCCGCAGATAAAAAATGATGTTGTACGCGCTAGATTGTACACAACACGCGATCAGTGCCGTTTGCCGATGCACCGTTTGAACAAACTCCGTAGGAGAAAAAAGCCGTAAAGTAGATTCCGAAGAGCCGATAACAAATATTTTCGCAACATTTTACCACAATTATTGTTATCGTCGTACACTTCGCGGTAGCCTATCGCGCGCACAAAACGTACGTGTGCGCAAGGGATAAAGAAATCGTATACATCGAGAACCGGTTTCATTCGACGAACTCTTAACGAGCCGCACTTTATGCGCGCGTGCTGAGCAGGACAACAGAATAAAAATAAAAAACTCTAAATCCTCGAGGCGTACGACGGACGCCGTGGCGAGCTTGTACGTTTGAAACGAAAAATGTGGTCATGCAGGTGCGTGCGCGTGAATAGTGTACCGCAACCGAGATATGATCGCGAACAGCAGAAGTCCTTATTTATAATAATAATAATACATTGTAGAACGTATAGCAATAATATTATTAATAGGTATCAATAATATTGCGACGTGCGAATAGAAAAACTCCCAAACATGTTGTAACGGAAGGGTTACGCAACGACGACGACGTACGGACGTTACGAGCACTACACGATGCGTTATCGTTATGACCGCGGTTGGACGTTCGTCGCCGTTGCGACTTGAAAACACTGACCGCTCGTTCCAACGGTGCGGAAAGGAATAAGAATAAAACCAAACCAAATAATCCGTTTGATTATGAAGTATTGTACACCAACGCCGCGCCGGTGCATCTGAACGGAAGCAAAAATCGAAAGTTTATGCGCACCGATCGGAACACAATTGCGGTACGCGACGTTGCCCTGCGGTAGAATAACCAGTCAACAAAACACCGGGTGCAAGCGGTACACGATAAGCATGAACGGAATGATATTTTCAGATGTATCGAACCGGGTTGCCGACCACTGATCTGTACAATGTGTAATATTCATAAAACTTTTTATTGTTTACGTTGTACGTATAAAGAAAGCACTGTGTAATTATTATTGATTAAAATGATAAATCGGTTATTTTATTATTAATAACATAACGAAAAACAGTAATGCAATAGCAAAATTAATTTTTATCATATATTTTGGGACTTATTGGGTATCGACGTATAAAATAACTCGGACAGGATAATGTAATTTTACTGTATTCGATTTGAATGCAATAATTGCATTCGATAAAAAATGATTCTGAGCGAACGAGGGAATCTTTTTTATTTAATTTCATTCGTTTCTATGGTGATAAATAAAACGTTTTAAGAACAGCTTAAGAACGATTTATATAATTATAATTATAATTATAATTTATAATTAGGAAATATCACAAAAATGAAAAAAAATATAAAAAAAAGAAAAAACCTAAAATTCGCACAAATGTTTTGAAAATTTTACCATATCTAAGTAAGAATAATATAAGTATATAACCAAAATTTCAAGTTTTTACGAATGTTTTTAACCGTATTACAACAAAAAAACTCCCAAAATTAAAATTTCTATAAATAGCTCAAAAATGGCTAAAATTGTCCGAAATTTAAACTATAAGGAACAAAATCCAAAATACAACAAAAAAGATCTCTCATCATTTTTCATTTGAAGCAATATTTCTGGTAGAAAACATCGTCCGTAATTATTTAATATTATAAAATCGTGAAATCGTACGTTTTTCTCCTATAACCACTTTTTTTTCGAGTACCGTTTCGAACATCGAAAAATGAATTCTCTACAGTACCAGCTAAAGAACATCACCTTTCAGAAAATATGTTATACTTGATACTTTTGAACAAGTTTAGAGGGAGAAAAAATGTTTACAGAATAAAGAAGAAAAATAAATAAACATCATTGTAAAACCATTACATTCCTCGATCCCCTCAGAATCTAAAACTACTATAAAAAAGGAAATATGTGTATAGGTACATTATTATAAGTAGCGCTAACTTTACCAGTTAGTTTTGCAACGTGTGAACGTTGCAACATGTATAAGAATTTCCATGCTTCAAGATCGGTTCACTAATTTATCTATTCTTCGCATAAGAAAAGACCTTATTAAAAATCTTGATAGTGAAAATATTTTAAATACATTTTCAAATCTTCCAGAATGCTGATTTAAAAAAAAAAGTATTTACAGCTGTTATTACCTACTTGTTTAAATTTTTATTTCTTTCATATAAACTATATACTATATATTTCGCTACACAGAAGGAACCAGCTTACCACAAGTGTCAGTTGAAACAGTAAAAAAATAACATATTTACTGTTATATAATGATTATTATTATTATTTACATTTATATACTCGTAGCAATATTCAGACGCAGTGAACCTATTGGATATCGTCATAATACAGTTAACGCGATTGACATTGTATTAAACAGCTGTGTATGGATATATCGATATATATATATATATATATATAAATTAATAGTATTATTAATCATAATTTATGACCTATATGAAAAATTAAAAACCAATGAAGGTGCGGGGGAGGTGAAGGCTCCCATGGCATTTATTAAAAAAAAAAAAAAATTCAACCCCCTCCCCAAATTTTCAAAGGATTTTTCCGCCAATGGACAGCGGGCAACTACACGCACGAATTGAGTGCAATGTCATCGCGGTAGAGTGCATACGGTCCGACGATGGTATTATTGTTATGCAACGCGTTCGGACGTCCACAACTTCAAACCGTCGGATAAATACGATCTTCGCGGTTTATAGAGCATGACGTATAAAATGCGTGCGTGTATGTGTGTACATTTACATGTACACACACGCGTGTAGCGCCGGTCACGTACGTGTTACGGATCAAAACTTAACATCGCGCAGACCTTAAGTAATAACACGAGAGTATAGGTATGGTTCAATCCGAACACGTTCACAGGATACGATGATGTCGGTGCATTAATTTATTTTATAGTACTCCGTGCATGATTTCGAAAGAACTTTACACTTACAATAATAATAATAATAATAATATGAAAACGTCAAAACGATTCAATAATAGGTACGCGTATGTTATAATACTGTACTGTCGTAATGAACGAACGGTTCGATACAATCTTTGTGTGTTCTGTTTAATGCTAATAATTTTCGGTAAATTTCGCGTACATAACGATACGAGTTGTGTTTAAATCAACTTATGTTTGCGGAATATATTAAACACCTCGTGGTTCGTGATGTTTGTAATATTAGGTATGTAATATTGTAACATGCGTTAATTTTATTCATAATATTATGTCAGTGTTGAAATATTATTATTTATACGAACCTTATCACTGATGTTCCCGAGATGCACCACATCCTCCGTTTCCACAAGTTCTTCTTTTTCTTCTCGGCTTTTGATTTTTTTCTCCCTCACTTCTTTCAATAGCGACGGGTTACCTTCCAAAGAAGATATTCGCACCACCACTTCTTTGGTTTGTTCGCCGTCTCCTTCATCTCCGAGCTGACGATGCTGAAAACACAATTTTTCATTTCAATCAAAATAGATTTTATCAATATCTGTATTTTATACCTATAGTCAAATCTCAGACATCACAGTTACTCGGGAAAGGGGTTATCCAACTATATAAACCGATCGAAATGCACGTGCCAACGAGAACAGAAAATTAATATCAAGACTCATACGTAAATATATTGAACGTATGCCAAAAAAAACTGAGCGTCAGGATACAATAACAATATCGCAAACCACGGTGCACATTACACAAATACGTGTTAAATGTGTTTTAATCGAAGTCGAAGCGAAGAAGTCTAGATGATATGTGTTCCGATCACGTCTTAAATTGTGAATTCCGCCGTAATAGTCCGACACTCACCTGAGGACTAGTTGGATTTCTTGCAGGATCATCGCTCTTAAGGAATGCAATACTGGTGTTTGTACATTATCGCCGAACGTGACGGAGAGAGAGTGGATGGATATATTAATTATATACGTAATGAATAAGCCGGCTTGAGACCGAACAAAAACAATAGAACCGTTCGGTGAACCCCAGGTTTGTGATGTAGTGTTCGCAGAAATTGATTTTCGTTCGGTTTCGATTGTACTCGCGCGTTTAGTGTACACGTGCTGCACCCGATAGCTCGAGCTCACGCATTGCCGCTGTCAATTATTATTCACGCATACATAAAGACGGTTATAAGGGGGGATGCAATAGGTATATCATCCCCCCCCTTAAGATTTTGTTTTTTTAAATTTAGTATATCGCTGTCCCAATAACACCTATCTGCAAATTTTCGAACTTATGATTTGATAGCAAAATATTTTTCCGATTTAATCACAGATAATATCAGAGGCCTATTCAGACTTACTTCTAGGGGAGGGGAGGAGTGACTCACATTTTTTCTTTAATTCAGGCTCAAAATTTACAAGTAAAATTGATAATATTGAAATAGGCTAATCCTTGATATTTGTGATTTTTTTTTTTTTTAACATCTGGCTGTGTTTTGAAAGATACGCTTGTGTTTCATTTGATTTTTACTAAGTATGGACACTAAGTATCTATCGTTATAAAATGATTCACATTAAAAAAATTTGAAGTATATATCTCACATATGATCGATTCCTTAAATACGGATTTCGGGGAGCGCGCAGTCGCCCCTTTCACCCCCCTAAAATATGCTCTTGGATAATATATTATCATAATATTGTATTTTATTATACTTTATGTCTCAGTCGCGTACGCTTAATTTAACTGATATCCGTATTAGACATTCATTATTTTATCGTTGGTGATTCATTTTGAAATGCATTTATTTGTATTTTTCTAAATCATATAAATAATATTTATTAAAATGCTATGGGATGGGGTTGGCTTTATTTTCGTTCCCCCCTAGAACATTATGTTTAACCACCACTGCGCTTACGATATGTTTATTATCTCACAGGATGCGTGTGTGTATATATACGGTTATGACAACTGTTCGTACGTATACAGAATCTTACACGTATGTACAAGAACACTTACTCACACACATAAATACGCGCGCATACACATTTACGCATTATATATACGTATTATTTTTGATAATATCTACTGCCTTTCACTCATACACCAGGAATGGATGCAATTATTCCGTACACTGATCTAATTTTACTTGTTTTGTGTAATGCTCCGATGTGATATCCGCGTGAAAAAGACCAATCATAATTCTCATTATGTTATTATACGCTAAGAAATCGTAATCATTAGGTAGATAATTATTAGGTAGTAGTGTACTCCATATGTGCACGCAAAGCAAACCGAGTAGTAAAGAGCGTTTGTGTTTTACAACACTACAAGTTTAGCAGCACGCGGTTCTCAATAACAATCATCGATATCGAAACCTTTCGCACTAAGTCTAGGTACTGTGAACACCCAAGTCATTCGGATCACCAATTATATTAATTAATAAAATGTTAAATAAATCATAATGTCAGATGCAATAAATATTTTACGTATGCCCATGTACCTAATTGCGTTTAATCCTTCGTCTGTACATTGGGTCATAAATGGACAGACATGTTTTTAGTACTAAAAACACATACAAAAAAATATGAAAATATTTACATTTAATAATTAAGGGTTTCTCTTTGAGATCTGGATATTTGTTTAACGATTCATTAATAATCACATTTTTATAAAATTATAAAAGTGACGAAATTGCAAAAAAAGTGAATTTTTGGAATTTTGGTTGTGCCATAAAAGACTCAGTGAACAAACGAAAGATTAAGAATATTTAATAAAACGTCTTAAAATTCGATTTATTGTAAATAAATACTGCATCCCGTGGTGATTATTATTTTAATTCAAACATATCATAATAATAGAAATCGGTATAGTACCATTGATTATAAAATATTTTATCATCAGCTCTAGTGCTCGAATATGATTCTATACAAACATAATTGCTCTACGTTATAGCGCTTATGAACCAAATAATAGATTATAAAAAAATAAAAATTTAATTGAAATTAAAAATTAGTAAATAGTTTATAATCGTAAATTAATAAATTAATTACTAAGCCAATAGTTTACTTAGAGAAATAAATGCTTAATCGGGAGTATTTGCAAAGTATGATTTTATTAACTTTGTATATAACTAATGATGAATTTTTAATTCAAAAACGGTCGTACTTTATAAATATAATAATACTTCAGGATAATTATTTATTTATTTATTTCTATACATATATGGGTAAACTATTTATTTATACTTTAAAATAATAAAAACATATTTTCAAATTACCTCAGTTTGTTGATGTTCTTGTTTTTCTGTGTCTTCGGTCGTATTAGTCGTTACGATTGGCCCGGAATCCTCGACTATTTTCCCGTCTTCTAAGACGACTTGTCTTTTAACTCTTGTTTCGATTTGTTTTTTCGTCGTCAATTCGACTTTTTTCTTAGTCACCCATTCTTCTGTAATTGCGAACAAAAAAATACAAATAATGAATAAAGCGAAATGATCAATGGAAAAGAAAAAAAAGACTAACACAGTATATACACACAGAATAATATAGGTCGAGACAGCAGACTGCAGATGCGGAAATGGAGACATTTACAATTGCCCACACATTTGTATAATAATATGTATACAATGTATATATATATATATATATATATATATATATATATATATATATAAACGAACGAACACTTTCTTTGGCAAATTACACATTACTGTGTATTTCTAAGCTTGGAAACATTGTACACACACACATATATATGAGCATAGCCCTAGTGTGTGTCTGTCGGGCTATATAGGACCCCATTAATCTGTCAACTAGTAGTTATGAAATTTTATTAATGAGTATACATACAGAAGTAAAAAAAAATATATGTTTGCTAGGGGCAAACGTTTTTTTCTTTTGTATACAGTTTTGAATACTTCGAATAACTATCAATCAAAATTGAAAGACATATAAAAGACTTGATCTAACTGATTTTTGGTACCTGTAAAATCGTCACAATCTCATTTCTAAAATAGTGTCTACATATTATATTTAAAATAATTTAGACGATAATTCTATTAAAATTATTACAATTTAGTTTTTTTCCTATAATGTTATAATCCTTGAAACAATTCTTAATTATTTCATAATATCTTTACAAAGCCGACCGCATCACACAAATTTGTTTTTTTTTTCAAATACGAAATTTAAATTTATCGGAAAACATAAGAATGTCATTTTTTTATCATTAAAAAAGTGTTATTATAAATTTATGTGTAGTGATCCAATGAAAGATATTTTATATTTTATTCGGTAATTTATCGTACATTTTGGATGCATATATATATATGTAAGCATGAATAATGGTATGTATTCCATTTAATATGTAATATTACAAAATATTTGTCTATAATAATTTGATTTTAATATTTCCCAATGCCTTTCAAAAAAAAAAAAAAAAAACTTTACATTGTTTATTATCTTAAGTACATTTTCTATTGTCTGACCGTGTCATGTTTAAAAAACTATTAATTGTTGTTCAAAGTACAGAAATATTGTTTTTATTACTCAGGGGAAGTCATGAGTACAGTTTACTGGGTGCGTGCGCTTAATATTACAGCATTACAAAAGGACATACCATAAATATTCGTTAGCATTCCGATAATGGAGTGATGATTTTTTCACACATATCACAACCAAGGGTGTTATACATAATCACGTTTAGAATATATATAAAATGTATTGCAATGAATAAAACATTCACACGTAGGTTATTATTATTATGATTTCGTACTCATTGGATAACATGTGTTATTTTTTAATTTTTTCTTTTATTTATTTTTATTTTTTAACTCTAAAGAGGTTTTTATAAAACATAACAATTTAACAATACCCCGGAGAAAGTACAAAAAACGCTGTTGAATAAAATGTAGACGAACATCAGAGCTTGAGGTGCTTCCGCATAGGATATATATATATACATTGTGGTAATACAAGTATGCTAATTTTAGACTATTATTGTATGTAATGTCACAACAGTACTTTTGAACAATAATAAAACATAACTGTTATACATTCTTCAAATATTGTGTTTATACTTTGGTGAGGTTTATATTTTTTTTTAAGGCCTAATGAAAGTGTGTGAATTTTTTTCCAAACCGTTTCGATGAAAACATTTTAAACAATAAGATTATTATTTCTACTAGTTTAGTGCTTGAAATTATTTCATAAGGCCTATGTTTGTTTCAAATTAATTATATAATAATATTACTTCATTTTTCTCAATTTATTTACATGAGTGAATAATTGAGATCAAAATTTAAAAAAAAACCCGATTAAAAACTATTTCCGCGGTTAAAAAGTCAAACTAGATTTTTTACTGAGTGAAATTAATTTAAAAAATACTTTGGTTATCGTTGTTAGTTAATAACCGGTTTTAATGAATAAGATTTTTTGTATACATTTAAAATTTAGATCATATATTGTTACGTCAACCAATGGTAATTCAAAAAGTGCAGACAGGTAGTATATTATCGAATTAAATAGTTATTATGTTATTTGAATATATAGATACTGGATTCAAAATTAAAAATACATAAATAATATTCCAATCACATGTGTACAAACTGGCGAATATTTCAATTATTTTTCTTAAACATCGGATCGTAAGACTATACATCTTTATTCTTTGAATTACTGCAAATAGATATGCTTAATCGAACTTCTCACACCACCTAACAGCTATGATACTATACAGATTGAATAACAAAAATTTTTTGGTACTATACTACTCATTTAAGATTAAAATAAATTATATAAAGTACGCGTATACATATACGACGATATTGCGTTTTACTCGTTTTCGCGCATGGAGGTTAACGTAATATAACGCATATAAAGCATATTTTATATTAAGGATAATTAATTGCAAACTATGCAACGATTTCAAGACGTATAAGGAAGTGAAAGAAAAAACATAAAAATATTTTATCTGTCTATTGTTATTCGGATACGTCACGAATATTAACAAGCCAAGAACAGCACCTTACAGCAGAAACTGATCGTAATTCTGTTTTCGTTAATTGGGATTCATTATTATTACTTGTTTTCCCTCTCGTTTTTACACTACTATTATAGATGACCCGTGAATTATGTTATTTGAGCATCATTTAAATTATTTACATATATATATATATATATATATATATATATATATATATATATATATATGACTATAATATTGTTTTCACCTATCTGGTCATCTTATTCAAAACGCAATGTATATTAATATTTTTTTTTTCATGCACACGTTTTGCACGGGTACGTGTATTGTAAAAAGTGTACGGAATAAAAATGTAATCGGTAACGTTGATATCCTGTGTGCAACAACTGTTGTTACGGTACGCTAATCCGCTGATTTCATAGACGCTGACATTTAATCTCCCGAAAACCACCAACACCCAGTTTAGTAACGGCAATTTAACCCATTATTATTGTAGAGCTGTGAGATTTTACACTCGTATTATTATTGTTTTTCTTTTTTTTTATCGTTATTATTCGTTTTTAATAAATTATTGGCAATTTTTTTCACGATAATACTTGTATTGCTTATTCATCCGGAAAAATGTTGAATTTGTTTGAGTTTCACGAAAAAATTGAAATTCATTTTCAGCTCGATCGAATTCAATAATTGAAATATTCTCCACAAGTGCGGTGTCGAATGTCATACTTTCCAAATTTATTATATTTAATTCGAATACGAGTTGAAAATAAAAACAAATGGAACACACATTTTTCCATATACCTGCAGTATACATATATGTGTTCTGTGCACGATGCACGTATTGATGACAGTAGAAATGTTTTCAATTATTGAAATAGTGAACACTATAAATCTAACTATGTACTGCAAGCTGTGTAAATTTAAAAAATATACCTATATCTGTCTAAAATGGTTTTAGATGGTCGAAATAAATACTACCCATAAAATCAGTAACGTTCGAGGCTGACAGATACGAACGTGCACAATTTATGTTGTATTGATACAAACTTCTGTTGATCAGATGTAATAATGTCCCTCAGTATTCTACAAATGAAAGTTGACAATTCGTATTCATGTTATTGTTTAACCTACTTTTCGTACCCATAATATATTGCTCAATATTTAACTAAAATTTTACAAGCGAACACGCGTTTTCGTCACACCAAAAAAGTATAAATAATTTTATCGGGTTATATGTAGATTAAGTCATAATACATAGAGTTATAGTTACTACATAGTCAACGTTGAAAAATTCATAAGATTGATAAACCATACAGAAATTATTGCTACATATAAGAGGAGGTTATGCGTGTACAATAAGATTTTAAAGCGTTTATCAACATATGCATCGAGTATAGAAAAACAAAATAAAACTATAATGTGATTCGAAACTAGAGTTACCATCGAAAAATGGCTATATGTCAAAAAAATACTTTACTATAACAATCATGGTTTGTTTTTATTCAAAAATCGGGATTTTTTTTTATCGTATAATTTAGTATAATTTGCTTGTTTTTTAATCTCAAATATGTTTAGACCAAATATTTTTTTTACCTCGATCTATAGTTATTTTACGAAATTCATAAAATTACATATAAACTACTCCGTTAAAACTGTTTAGATTGTTTTCAATTATTCCGAAATATTGAGAAAATAAATAACCTATATATCATATATGCATAACATTTTATAGACTCAAATAGAATAAATTACATTATTGTATTTTAACGTATTTCTGCTCCAAAATCTCCTACAGTAGGTAGTATAACTGTTACCATTTGTGTAAACATTTAATCAACACATCATCGCTATATGTATAACTTAATATAGCTTTTTATTTGTGTTTTAATGCTTTACCTTAAACAGTAATTACGTTTAACAGAATAATAATTTTACGATTTCATTTTATTACAGTCCTTTCTGCGAGTTCAACGAAACGTCGATGCGAACGTATCATAAATCTATATATAGCATTAAAAAATTACCATATTCATAGAAGTAATCGCATAGATTTCGGGATCGTTTTTTCCGTTCTCTCTTGTATTTTCAAAAGATTTATTATTCATCTCGTGTCACGGATGTGCAAAGAACATTATTATTATTTCGAAAATCGTTTATCGATGATGTACTGACGCCATACAACGTAATGAATTCGTGTACGTGAAACGATTTCTAAAGTCCAATGGACTTGTGTCAGACACGCAATCGAACTGGTTGAAAATATTTTTTATTCGATTTAAGAAGGTACTATATGTTTGGTAAAGCCAGCCGCTGGTGCGTGTTTCTATATACGATTTTCGTGCTATCTCAATCGATCAAAATGTGCGGTTACAAGACAGTATTTGACGGGTATGCAAATTGTAAAACGAATCTTTTTACACTAATGACTGTAACATTCCGTACTGAGGAAAACCTCGAATAATTGACCACATATGGTATTTAGATTTATTGACGTTCTAGCATTTCGATTTGTAATGGTCAATCGTGGCCCGTTCTATATACATTTATACATACTATAAATACGTGTACTACGAGAAACGCACTTCGGTGTAATAAACGAGTTCAACGTTAATTATGTTCACGGTTAAACGCAGATGTTTCTAATACATATTTTAATTGAATATAAAAAGAAAAAGAAATATGAAGCAGTAGAAAATTTTGGCATTATATTAAATGCAATAAGCGTTGCGAACTTCTTGTTATTTTTAGGTTTAAAATATATGGACCACGATGAACATTTGAAATAATAATCAATACGTACATATATACGTTGAAAAAAAACCTCATCTCGAAAGAAAACAATACCAATAATTTATAATAGTTTTTGTATAAACATTTCTGTAAAATTAAATAATTTAAAAACGGAATTTGACAAAATCGTGTGCTTTGTAGCTTATCAATTGATAGTAAACAGTTATATTACAACGCGTAACGTGTTTAATGAAGTACAAATACATTTTGCTAATACTCCACGAACACTATAATACGTAGCAACAGACGTCTGCCCATTTGCTTATCACTGTCATCAGAGTAACGAAAATAATTATTAAAAAAAATCTCTTCTAAAACACATTTAGTAGCAATTATAATTAATAAACGATGTACCAATAAATGATACTTGGAAGTTTATTCGGTATTGACAGTACAATAACATTGTTATATTATTATATTATCGCCTTTGCGAACCATCCGTACGAACTATCCGTGTACCACCAGTCGAGAACCTCAATACGCGTCACGATGCAGTAATAACACACTGATATATCGGAAATGTATCTGAGCGAGTCAAGTCAAAACTGTAGACGGTATCATAAACTATAGATAAATGTAAAATTAATAATATATTACTTATGTACTGCACAGTGAGTCGTTTTATCTGCCCGATACCACTATGTTTTATACATGAATTGAAATATTGACTGCGGCGAGTATTGGTAATGTGGCGGGAAAAGTAAATTAAAATAAAAAAATAATACTAAGAATGTGCGTGTTAAATATTATTATAATAATACGTCTTCGGATGCGCTTCGGGTCAGCCGACGATGAGACGCGTTCACCGGTTTCTGTTCATGCCCAGCTACAGGCGTATTACACGGGTACAATTGTATAATAATAACGCGTATTATTACACGTAGGGGTGGTGAACCTTTTTCAATTTCGAATTGTTTTCGCTTACATTTTCTAATTAAAATTATCTAACGCGTGCCAATATGATATATGCCGAACGTGTATGGTTCCGGTTTTGTTCAATTTTGTTATCAAACGAATCTTAATGAAAATAGGCTACAGATAGTGGTTTACAGATTCCATTTATGTCAATCATAGGCAAAGGAAAACTCAACACGTTGATCACTCCTAAAAAGTTCAAAAAGTAACGGCTCAGAAATAATCGGACAACTTTTAACGTTATATTTCGGATTGTTCTCATCACCCGTCCGAAGACGTAAATTAAAGATTTTTGCTTCAAATCGTCCATTCCCCGCGGTGCTATAGATACGTCACCCCCGTTGCGTACGCATAAACATTAGTGAAGTAGCGATCGTAATGATATAATAATATGTAATGTTTTTCTTACCTTCTTTGGTGGTGGCGATCAAATTGTCCGGATCGACCTGCGAAAAACAACAATACGACGAGTTATCAGATGACACGAACGATATGGACGTGGTCGAGGTGGACCTGTCGCCAGGGCTTTTAGCCGGCTCGCACCTCCCCCCATGGCCAGCGTTACTGGACGGCGGCGGCACGATAAGTATGACTACCATTCGAAAGATCGCGCGCGTGCACGGGTGCTATTGCAGTTCGGGCACCGAATCCGCACACCGGTTACCGCTAACCGGTTGCCTACCCGTTCATGGGCGTACAATTATTGATACCGTACTCTGCGTTTAACGTCGGAATGATAAAAAAAAAAAAAAAAAAAAATGTCAAAAAAAATCACACACTCGTATCGTAATAATAATAATAATACAGTTATTACACGTTCGCGCACCGCAATCGCACTCGGCGACTAGCTGCTGCTGTTCACGTACGAGTATTTAACGCAAAACGATGGTTTCAACAACACGGACGCGGCGGCGGTCGTAATAATAACAACAATGATATCGTTTTGCCGCCAACGCGCGAGCGACGGGTTGGCCGACGGACAGACAGACTGAAGCCGCGACCGCGGCGGCGGTCGACCCG